GTTTCGTTTTACCAGCATCGATCACCGCGTAACGCGAATCTCGTTTTTCCACGAATCCCGCCGCGTTGCGCGATCACGTTCGTTTCCTTTGACGACACGTGCTCCGGATTGCGTTTCCATTAGTCTCGTTATCATACACTGCTACCTTTCTGATCGAATATTTCCCGTTCCGTTCCGCGAGTCGACCGAGTATCAAAAATCCAAGTCCGTCGTGGCCAGGATCCAGCAGCCAGAGTGCCGGAGGACGCGTTTTCCAGACGGTTCCACGGTGTTGGAATCGCGCGTGTGTTCCTTCCACGCTTGCCGTATCGACGGCAAATCTAACTCGTTAACCGACTGCGGGCACGTGTTCGGTTTCCCTCGTACGAAACTAATGCCGATCGATAATGGAACCATTAATTATTGTCATTATTGTCACATGTCGTGCCGCGCTAATCCGGCCGTTGGAATGGACCGAGCGAGCGGTGCGCGTTGATCGTCGTATCGCGACGAAGATTCCGATTCCTCGGTGGAAAATTTTTCCCAGACATCGAATCTATATCGTCTTTTTCGCCCCGTCCGATAATTTCCGTGGAATCGGAATTTCTCCGATACCCGGACTCTCAAACGCCGAGAAGGTCTCGCAGCGCGGCTCTCGATCGGAATTAAATATCGGGTAAATTGTTCCCTTTAAAATAATCGAGCCACGGTGGAAACGGTAACTCGGGGAGAAGCGGACGATTAAAAAGAAAGTCGAGGAGGAATATTCCGTGGTTGGCCGGTCGCGCGCTGATCGAAGCGTGACGAGCGGTAATTGAATGTAGGTATGGCATTTGCATTGACAAGCTCCAACAGAGATAATTCGAATCTCGTCGAACGCAACGGTCCACACGGGCGTTAGGTCGTTTGTCAATACGACGACGGCCGTCCGGTTTCCACGTTTCCACCGTATCGCTGTTTGTCACCGTCTCGTCCACGATCGCTCGCCGCTGAATACCTCTACTTCTCTGCCAGCTCGCGCGATTCATTCCGCGGACCTCGTTGCTGTTATTCAAATAAGCGACAGACTGCAGGGGGTCACGATGGCGCCAGTTCCACCGTTCCGTCCTTTTCCATCCGTTTCGGTCATCCTAATACTCCTCGAAATCTCTGCGGCCACCGCGCTGCGGCTCTGCCATCCATCGTTCCGCGATTTCCCATCGACGCGGTCCCCTTCGCCACGCGACAATCTTACGCGAAACTCGCTCTATTCGCGTCTATTCGCGTCTATTCGCGTCTATTCGCCGAGGAACCGGTGGAACCCTGGAAGCAATCGGAGGGTTGGACGAGCAACGGTCGGAAAACGGGTTGCAGCGCGACAGAGACGGTTCCTTGGAAGTGTTCTCTCGATTCTTCGGCCGGTCGATCGAAAACAGCAGACACGACGGGTCGGTATACACCGCACCGACATACGCTACAATGGAGCTTCACTTTCGAAAATCAAACAGAGAGAACCGCCGGGCCGGCGCATCCTCGCAGCTGCACTGTTTGTACGAACGTGCAAACAATGGAACTACCCATTTCCTGTGCGAATATATCCTGACGATAGCTAGCCGGTCGCGGACTTGCCGCCAGGCAAACACGTACGATGACGCGCGCGGATTTCTGCTCGAAGGATCGATAGCTCGCTCCTCGATCTTCCACGCTTCTTCCACGTCCTCCACGTCCATCCGCTCTCCCGTCTCGCGTCCCCGATCTCCGTTACGCGCGCGTACGCTTCGCAGCTGGGATCTCTGATCGAAGATCCTCCGCATCGACGGACAGGGACGATCGCGGGGTCCCGGAATGGGGAGATTTTTCGTGGACGAGCGTCGCGACGCCCCGCGCGAGGTCACGAGTCCGTGGTAACACGGCGTCCCAAACCGCGAAACCCCGGAAACCGCTCGGCGAGGGTTTCGAGTTGCCGTGAAAAACACCAACGATCCCGCTAATCCGGCTCGAGAGCGGAGTTACGCGGCCGTTGGCGATATTAAATCGCGGGCCCTCGACCTCGTATCGGCGGGCGAACGAGTCGGGGTACGGGGTGGTTTGCCAGAAACTCTCTGGCAAACACCCGAGAACAATGATGATGACGCTCGGTCCGTCTCCTCATTAACTTTCGACTAATTAAACGCAACGGCGCTCGTTACGAGGCGAGACGACGGTGGCGCGAATTTTGGCGCAAAGCGAAAGAAAAAAGTCGCCGGTGAATCGTTGCCGGATCGATCGATCGATCGAAGCCCCGCTTCGTTCCGCTCCGCTCCGCCCCGCGAGCCGTCGGTCCGTCAGACGCACGCGAGCCACACCGCAAAAGGGTCGAAACCGAGGGGGGAAAGAGAGCCAGGAGCGAGAAGCGGAGGGACAGAGAGAGGCAGAGAGAGGGTTAGGGGTCCGGTGGGAGATAAAGCGATAAAGAGCAACGGAGGAGAAAGAGAAAGAGAGCCAGCCGGCGGAGAACGAGAGACGAAAAGAGCCGGCGAGCGAGAGACAGAGAGAAAGGGTGAGAGAGAGGCAGAGAGAGAGAGAGAGAGAGAGTGAGAGAGAGGAGAGAGCAGGGTCGTGCGACGAACGGAGACGAGCGACCGCGCGCGGAAGGAGTGGGGTTGCTCACGGGGTGTGAGAGGAACCAGGAAAGGGGAAAGGGATGCTGCGTGTGTTGGCATGGACCAGTGCGTCAACGGCTGTTGCCTCACACGAACCGCCGAAATTATAGTTAGTGGCCCCGACGGGTATTTCGAGAGACGACTCTGACTACCAAAACACGCCAGCCTCTGGGATTCTCTGCCGGCTCCTCCAGGATCCCCACGACTGCCTTCCGAGACTTCGTTCCAGGATTCTCGCACTCGTCGCAAACCGAGATCGATCGTTCGTCGCAGTGTGCCCACGTCTGTCGAGCCGTTTTGGATTTCGGTGTACGTGCTTTGGTGGATAGAACAGCTTGTCCCGCGCGTCAACTCCGTCCTTCCCGATCGTCGATCGCGATAACCCAGCGGGAAGATCTCGGCCAAGGGGAACCGTGGGTCTCTTAAAGATCGAGGATTCCATCCTCGCGAGGTTTCCTTCCAGCCAAGAGACAGTGTCCTCCAGTGGATAGTCCGTCGGTTGCTACTGTGAACACGGTCGGACAGTGAGTGCGATTCTTTCATTCAGTGAGAGCGCGATTCACCGACACGATCATCCGCTTACTCAAGAATCCTTCCGCGATCTCTCATCCGCGAATCGTCCAAATCACCCTAGCGACAGGAAGATCTCTCTCGGCCGAAACTTCGTCGCGCACACGCTCGCAGGAATTTCGAAAATCCGGTTTCGCCGATCTCGAGGGTCGCGCATTTGGCGCAGATCGCACTTGGCGTAAACGGTTCTAAGAATGGCCGAGAAATTCTGCCCGGAAGTGCGAACACGGCACTAGCCCAGCAAGAGATTTGAATGCGAAGTTAAGCGGGAATCTTATCCGTCGCCGCGTCGTTCTTTCCGAAGGGTCGTAAGATTCTTCTCCCCTCGATCTTCCGCCTCTGCCTCGTTTTCCGATGTCGTCTCCCGTTCGTCCAACCGATAATCCGATACCCGTGATCGTCGCCTCGTCGAATTCTTTCGCGAACCTTCTCGCACGCGTCGCGAAGACTCGCGAGCGGGGAGGTCCGAGGACACGCTCTGCCCGCCTCGCGACGATCGCTCGCGAATCGCGTAATCGCCGATCGCTCGTTACCGTAGGCTTTGGTTCGGTAGACCGCGACAGTCTGGAACCGTAGGACGTTGATTAGCAACGGCGTCCGAGTGTCCGAAGGACTCGGAATCCTCCTCGTGGCCGGTGCCTGACGCGCGAGCCTTCGATCCTGGCGGCTGGCACTGACAGAACAACGTGGTAACGTGCCACGTGCACTTTGACACGCGGTTGTTACGTGCGTAGGGGTTGGATATCCATGTGGCGTGTGGGGGTTGCCTACCGGCGGGCGTTCTTTTTCCCCTATTTTTTCCGTCCCCACCACCGGCCCGGTCCAACCCCTCCTGGAACCACCTGGATCCGGTGTGTCAGCCCCGGTGACGTGCGCAAAAATTACTGAATGAACGGTGACGTCACCGGCCGGCCCGCGTGAAAAGTGTGCGAGTCGTTCCTGTCCGTGTCAACCTCTCGTTCCGTCTCCTTCTCACCCTCTCTTCCTCTTCCTCTCGCGCTCCCTTTTTCCGTCCCACCTTCCCGTCTCGCGTTCCATCGGCCGCGGCGCGATCAGCTCGCCGGCTATCGCTTCGTTTCGAGGCCCGATCGAGCCGATTAAAGGGCTCCGCCAGCGAGATAAAGGCCCCTGCGAGCCGTCGTTAAATGGATTAGAAGCGGAAGGGTTGGTCGCACCGGCGACGGCACTCCACCCGCCGTCGTCCCTGCCTCGAGACTCTCCTGGGACCAACCCTTTCCCTCTGTCTCGCTCCACCAGGTTTTCACCCCACTTCCGGTAGACAGGTTCCCGATCTCGCGTCTCCCGACGCCTCTCTTCGCATCTCACCGTGCGTCCATTTTCTTTTACAGGTTGCAGGTAAAATCGGCGGATCCGCGGTGGTACCCTGTGTCTCAGAGGACCGATGGTCTCGTCAGCCGGAAGATTCCCTCGCGCGGTAACCTACTCGCGAACGTCGTAAAATTCGCCTAAGCTCCTCTACGTCTCGACGTTATCCTGACTCCGACACCCGGAAGAATCCCGACAGAAGATTCTCGATCTACGTCGTATTCGTCACCGCGAAGAGACTCGCGCCAGCAATCTCGAAGATCCCGTAAAACGTTCTCCAAGATCATCCGTGTGGTTCTAAATTGGCAGCTCGGAGAGGACTGCTCGGAAGCGAGGCTGCGCGAAAGTAAGGGAGGAAGGCATCGTCGAGCGTCGGACAGCGCGATGTCGGGCCGCGAAGCCTGACCCAGGAAGGGGTGAACCCGGTGAGGATCCTCGGCAGAGCAGAGAAGTTCCAGCAGTGAACCGAATGGAAGGATGTATCATCCGGCGTTCTGACTGCCTATGGATATATTCGGCCGTTGCAACGGCGGCGGTGGCGGAAGCACGGTATCCGGAAGCGGCGCTGGCTCGGTGAGGGGGTCCAGCAACGAGTCCAGCTGTGGAACAGGCACTGCTGCCGGCGAGAGCGGCGGAACCAGCGACAGGATGCAGTTGACAGGAGCCTCGGCTCCTGGCGCTGCCGCCTCGCCGGAGTCGGGCGTTTCTCCTTTGACCGATGCCTACACCAAGATGACCAGCGACATCCTGGCGGAGAGGACCTTGGGAGACTTCGTCAGCGAGCATCCCGGGGAGCTCGTGAGGACAGGTGAGTTTTTCACGTCGATAAAGTCAGACGCGTGGCTCGATCTCGGTTCGGGATTAGCAATTTTCTTCGTGGATTATCGATTAACTCTTTGGGGCACGCTGAGGATCTAAAGTGTCCCACGCGGTAGAAATATACCGATTTCGTTTCATTCGAAACGCGAGAAAATTTTATCATCCGACATCCCGTGCCGCAAAGAGTTAACCTCGTGATCGGAGAACGGTTGGACGATACTGACGTGTCTGGCTTGGCCAGGTTTCTGATTTAGATGCGAGGTTAGGTGTATCTGGTTCCGTTCCAGGGTCGCCTCACCTGGTCTGCAGCGTGTTGCCAGCGCACTGGAGGTCGAACAAGACCCTGCCAGTGGCCTTCAAGGTGGTGGCCCTCGGCGAGGTCGGCGATGGCACTTTGGTCACCGTTCGTGCTGGTAACGACGAGAACTGCTGTGCCGAGCTGAGGAACTCGACCGCTCTGATGAAGAACCAGGTGGCCAAGTTCAACGATTTGAGGTTCGTCGGAAGAAGCGGCAGAGGTGAGTGTTCGATTTAACCCCGTTAACGCGAAACTTCCCGTACCCGGTGGATGCTAACCTCGTTCGCGAGGATATTTCGCGGCAGCGACAAGTCCGAAACTCGAGAAATTAGCTCGCGACATTTCCACCCCTTTCTTGCCCCTTTCATTCACGGAACTGGAAAGTTGTGGATGACGCGGCGTTGACGGGCCGCGTTGCGGAAGAAAACGGGGTTGGGCTCGTGGCGGGAAGCAGCGTCAAAGAATTCGGCCGCGTAGTAAGGGTAGGTCGCGGACGTCTTCGAGGCACCCTCGTTTTTCCTCGAGGAAAAGAGTCCTCCGGTAAGCCCCGCGACGACCTCGAAATTGGACGTTTCGCAGGGGTTGCCGAGTCGTTGATTGGTGTGCCAGCCGAACTCGAGGAGACGACGACGTCTTTGGGGTGGGTAATGGGTTTTATTTGTCCGCACCACCGCCGAGCAACCTCCTCTTTACTTTCCTTCTTCGCAGTCTCGCCTCGAGAACAGGCTCGTTTCGCGAGCAAACGACGCGGGAAGGGGCGAAAAGAGCCGACGCCCCTGGAAACAGGGACGGCCGATATTAATTGAGGTTTCACTTGGATTTTAATTAACGTTATTAGGGTTGTTTCCCGCCTGCCGAACAGCTAACTCCTTCTGACCTACTTCGTGGGATCTCTGGCGGGGAGCTGCTCGCATCCGATTTTTTTTCGGAATTTCTTCCTAACCCTCGGGATTATCGATGGCCGACGGTATCGCAGTTTAACCGCCTTCTACTTTGTATCGGAGTTGTTACGCCGTTACGAAGGCCGGGATAGTTTCGGAGCAGGAATTAGGGTCGCGAGGACGGGTAGTCGGGGCGTTGGAAACCAATGAAATACCCGAATTTTCTATCCGACAACGAGGGGGCGAATCCACCCTCGAGCTCACGGAAGCGCGTCAGTCATTTGTCTGGGATTAGCTCTCAATTGTTTTCGTCGAGCGCGGAATTAACATAAGCTAGGATGAAGAATGTAAGAGAAGTGTCTCTCGTCAGGATTCCTGCGACTCCCTGGCTCCTTGAATATTCCCTGGGAGAACCGATGCGCTCCGAACACTCCAGCGAATCCCTAATGATCCTACCGTTTGTCGAACTCGAAAACATTCCTCTGGATGCATGTGACGGAGACGCGGTGTTTCGCCCCGTTTCCGGGACCACTGTCGCCCCTGTCGAAGCAAAACGCCCGAAAAATCCTCCTCCCCGACAACTCTCCACAGCCTTGAATTATAGATCACGCGCGCTGGATCGTTTAAAATTACGCGAACCGGGTACGAGATCTCTCGAAATCCCGTCGCTAGACAAGATACATAGCTTTATTCGCGAGTGCAAAGTTGAAGGGTGCCCGTCTGCTCGCAGGGCTGAAACTATAAGCGCCCAAATGATCTATCTCGTTACAGAGCTTAGGGTTAAAGGGGGTGGAAACGATCCAGACCTTGCCGCGATGGAGCTGGCATTACAGACGAACGTGCGTCAACCGAGTCATAGCTTATCACCGATATCGCAAGATCCTCCACTCCCTTCGAGCCCCGAAAATGATCAATTTCCCGAAAAACGCGAGCGCTATCGACGATTCGTTCTTTGACCCATAATTTCCATTACCAGGCGAGCATCGTTTCCCCATCGATCGAACACATTTTTGGCAGAACGGTGATTTTCGAAGAAAGGCGACCGGTTTTCCGTGATGGCAGTTCATCCTGACCATAATCAATTCGATATCAGCGTATAACAGCGCATTTGCGATTCGTTTGGGGAAAATTGAAATTAATTAGTTAGCTCGACAACGGCCCCGCAACCATCCATACCGCTCGCGCGTACACCTACCGGCTCGCGTGTTCCCTGAGAATCGTACGATAACGAGCATTATCAGCAAATCGATCCCGACGCACTTCCGCTCGTCTCCCTTTTTTCACACGCGCCTCGTGTCAATTCAGTTTCATCCCTTAACCTTCGTCGTGCTCCATCTATCGATAGCTGCGCGTGAATCCCGCTCGAACGATATCTCAAAATCCTCGAAATCGTTAAAATCGTTAGAATCGTTGGAACCCCGTGACAGGGTATTCTCGAAGGGGTTGACGACAGTCATCGTTGAATTGGATTCGCGAAATTGGAACGAATTTCGAAACGCGATCGATTCTCCAGCCTAATCGGCGTAAAATTTTCTAATCTCCCAGGGACGTGTAATTTCGCGTTCTTGCAGCTGCAAATAACTCGTCCCCCAAATTGCGGGGCAAGTAGCGGTAAACGAGCAGCTTGGAAAATCGAAGGAGGAAGAAAGAATTGGTCTTCGAGAGTGGAAAGACGCGAGGGGGAAGCAGAGGGTGGGTCGGGGGTGACCTTTAATGGTTGCGCGGCGACTGGCACCAAGGGTGATACCTACGTGTGCCGAGTTGCCGGTGAAACCTCGACTCTAGCATTGGGTGAAAAGCCTGGCCGGGGTTAGGCCATGGAGGATGCCGTGACTTGCAACAAACTGACGGGATCCCCGTTGGAAAACGAGAAGCTCGCGTGGTGAACCACCGTGTGGCCACGCTCGACACTCGCCATTATTCCCCCGATACTTTCTCCCTTTCTTTTCTGCCTTTCGTCGGGGCTAATCTTACGGTCGTGGAAACGAAGAAGTTTAACCGCTCGCGAGATCCCTTCGCTCCGTTCACGGCGGAGCATTTACGAGCGAAATTACGCGAGTTATTTATCTTCGCCGGCTGATCGGGGGGCTCGAAATGGCCTGGCCAATTCCCGCATTAATATTAGCCGGTTTTTTCCAGGGAAATGTCGGTATTCGAGGAGCGATTAGATAGCGTGACACGGGTCGCGCGAACGTACAGAGGATAACAGTGATTCGCTTTTAGAATCGCGTTGGGAAGGGTGGGATAGAAAAAACCACGCGATCAGCGATCCAGCCGGGGTGAGAAACGACGAGGGCGAGAGAAAGAGTGAAAGAGGGTGCACGTGGAATTGCGGTGAACCTCTGCGTGTGCAACCACCGTGTTCTGCGTGGCGTCGCTTTTTTTTAACTCAACATTGTCCCCTCTTTAACCGACGTTTTATCGAAACATCGCGAAATTCAGCCAATCGACGAACCGCTGCCTCGTTATTCCGACGAGGGTAGAAGTATTCGAGAATTCCGCGCGAAATGATAATAAGATTGAACGATGATCGAGACGGAAATTGAAGGAAAGTTTTACGAGCCACGTCGCTCGTAGCGAGGGTTGTTTTTCGTCGTTACGTGCCTAATAGGCTTTTTAACATAACCGGTGGCAACCACCCCATGGGTCGGCCGCGTTGGCTGGCCACCGTCACCGTCAACGACGCCCTCGATACATTACCGACGGTTAATTCGGTTACCAGCGAGTTTCGGTCGGCCAGCCACGCTCGCGAACTTCCGTTTCAATCTGGCACGATTAAAAAGAATCCCACGCAACGATTTTCACCCCCTTCTGTCCTGCTGTTCCAGGCAAGAGCTTCACGCTGACCATCACCGTGTCCACCACGCCGCCGCAGGTCGCCACGTACACCAAGGCCATTAAAGTAACCGTGGACGGGCCGCGGGAACCGCGATCCAAGACCAGTGAGTATCACTGTAAGCATTGCTATTCCTATTTATTATTTTAATTACACCTCACACTAGCGATCTATAGCCGTCGGCTCGCTCCTCCGCGATTCCCGTCTCTGGCCCTCGGGATCTTTAACCACTCGCGCTGGCAAGAAATTCACGGACGCGTGTGTCGGAACGGTCAACTGTAACCCGTTGGGAGGTGTCACGACGTTGGTATACCCTTACGACGGCGCGTGGCACGTCTTTCCAGCGCGAGTGGTTAATCCGCGCCCCGAATCGAACCGAAATTTTTCCAACCGCGAAATTTTCCAGGCCTCGATCTCGTCGGTATCCAAACTCGCGGCGATTCCTCGAAATTCCGGCGATTCTACACCGGGTGTGATTTGCGAGCATCGCGACGCGATTCGAGGACTGCGTGCGTCGGGAAAAAGTGTCGCGAGGGGCCGGTGCAGGTCGCGTAACTCGCGCCGGCGGAGGCGTCGAAAGCCGCAAGTTCGGAATGGCCCGGAGCGCTCGTGCGGTTCGCTCGCCGGGCTAAGTTTCGCGCAATTGCCATTATTTATAACCGCGGCCGGCCGCCATAACATTGATAAAGGGCTGCGGCGTTTAGCCGCGGAGATATTGCGCGACGCCTCCGAAGTTTGCCGTCTAGCTGCAGCGAGGAGAGGAGCTGCCCACCGTCTCCTCCTCGAATACACCGCTGCCTTCCAGACGCACAATTACCCCCCTAGCCGTCGGTTATTTCGCGGCGACGTGTGTCGACGGGCTCTGCTGCTTCTCGCCAGCGTCTCCCGGCCTCGGTTACCGAGCGAATCGAGGCGGTATTATGTCGGGGAATCGAAATTTACCGTCCCCTCATCCCGCTGTTTGTAAATCCACGACAAGACGCGCGATCGAGCTAGTGGAAGAGGAAGTGGTTCTCGGGCTTCGACGGACGTTTCCTTCGAAATTAATCGACCAGTGCCAGAGAAAAACCCAGACTTTGCCGTTTCCCTTGCAACCTTATATATCCTCGTCTTCCTAGACGAACAATCCCGATGGATTCCGATTTTCCGCGTTTTCTCTGCGAAAATTCCCTGATTTGTATCGGAGAGGCGGAGCAATGATCCTTGAAAGTCGAAAATAGACTCGGTTCGTAGCTGTCTACCCGAGACCACCCACGAGAAGTTGGCCGTAAAATGGTGGATCGCGAAGTGCAAGCGACGGTTATGAAAAATTTATTCCTACGGTGTAAAGCGGAACCCGGGTCGGATCAATTTTATTTACGGGAATGGCGTGCCGGGGAATACCACGAAAGAGGCGGCGCGTTGCATCTGCTGGAAACAAATGTTTTCGCCGGGATAAAGGGATCCAGTGAAAGGGACGCGGCGCGAGATAAAAGGGTTACGTGTTGCGGGTGGTCGATCGGCGTTTCTTTAAACCCACCGCTTCCTCGTCTTTGACACGCTCCCTAATTTTATTACGCCTACATCCTCGGAGCCGTACCTTGCCACGAGTCCGGGGACACGTCGGATCTCTCTGCTTCCGTTTCCTCGCGACCGAGTCGCGGACGTCACCGGACACTCGGATTTAATCTCACCCGGTGGATACCAGTGGAGGAAGGAACGAAAGCAGCGACGACCGCCGATGATGGCCGGCGAGTGCCGGTTTCTGCCATTCTCAAAGGGTGATAAACAAGTTTCGTAGCCGAGCCGTGAATCATTGGACCCTTCTTTCGCTCGACCAGCGATAAATCAGCCCTATGAATTCTATTCCGGAGGAACGGGGTTCTGGAAGGAAGAGCAGATCCGATGGCGGAACGAACGCGCCTCATTCGAACTCGAGCGGGTGCCGCTCGAGGGTCGTAATTAATTAAACAAGCAATTCATTACACATTCTACCCTCGTCCCATAGCCAAAGGTGGCCGCCACAGAAAGAGGATGCAGGGCTAAGGAAATTGATCGAGAGCGCGAGGAGGAGGACGACGAGACGGCGAGGGAGAAAGAGAGCCGGTGGCGCGAAGGACGCCTCTGGCGGAAGTTGGAAACCCGAAATCCCGAGTTGCACACACACCTTTTCAGCCGAGCGATCCGCTTTTGTTAGAAAATAGCACGAAATGGCCGGCCCCCGTGTCGTCTCCGGCGTGTCGAGAGGGTCGATCGGGGGCGACGGAACGAAATGAGGAGCTGTCGCTGCCAGCTGCTAACTCTCGAGAAATTCCCTGGCAGTCACCGGTCCGCGCGCGTAAAGGGGTGTCCAATGAAATCGATAGTAACGAGTCCGGAGAAGGTCCGAGTCACTTGCGAAATCCCCGGCGAAAAATCTGTTGCGGTGCTGATCGCTTTGAAGTGGCCGCCGCTACCAGGCGAGGCTGACTCCGTGATAGGTGAGGGTTGATTGGTCCCTTTGCACTCCGAGGTGTTTGGTCTCGGGTTAGATGGCCGGTGATCGGTTTAAAAACCAGCGTAATTAGAAGCTAGACCGACTTCCCTTCGAGAACACCGTCTTACTCGCGGCTCGTGGTCCCGAGCTGGAAAAATAAATTTCCCTCGTCGCGTCAGGCTTTTCCCCGCTCGCGTTGTAGATTCGAGGTTAAAACCTCTCTCTGCACTCGTATTAGGTGACATGGTAATTTTAATTGCGAAGAATAAGGGCTACGATACGTGGGCGTATCGTTGGGGGGCGTTGGAACTCGGATTGAGGACGTTATAGGCCGATTAATCTTCTGTAATACATTTCGGAACCTCTTCCGTACACCATACAAGTTCTGCAAGTAGGCTACGTCGGAAAATACAATAACTATGAATCGTCGGGGAAGAATAAGAACTGCCTTCGTACAGGTGCTTATATATTCCTACTTTTTGGAGGGGTGAAAATGACCATTGGTCCTTAGTCAAGGTAGGAACGAGTAGGATGTTTCGAACTCTGACTTTGGTCTGCCTTTATCAGCTGGGTCCTTTCGTCCAACAACGGTGGTAAATGATAAATATGATTTATCGCGAACAAACTTCTTCTAAACTTGCGACTTTCACGCTGACTATCTCTTAGAGAACTTCTCTTTCGTATTTCTCCCCGCACCCTTATTTAACCCTTTCGCGGCAAGGCGCACAAATATGAATTGCTCGGTGCGACAGCGTTAGAGAATTATACTCGATTATGTGAAAAAATCTGTGCTTAAGAAGCGTGTGCTTAATGAGCATTATTGGGTAGTTACCAATAACAATGCGCGGCGCCTGACAGTATTCTTCCCTCGGAGAGTGAGTCTCTGGACGAGCGTCTAAAGGCGCTGTTCGTTCGAGGGAGCAAGTATGGCTGCCTGCATACAGGCGCTGTTCGCAGCGAAGGGGTTGAACCTTGCACTCTGGCTTCTTCATGCTCTTTTTCAGTCACGCATTTCTCTCAGCCTCGCCCTCGGTGCGTCACCTAAACACCCTAAACATTCAGATGCATTTAGCTCTTCAATCGTATGCGATACTACCATAAATATCTCGCTCATGGGATCCTTCACACGGCCACTCGTCCTCCCGCACGCACTACAGATAAATCCCCCATTTTCGAGGAACGGTCCAAGCATTCCCATGCACTCCACGGTCATATCTATGCAGAAGCTACTGTCACAGACGGTGACCTTATACCCCAATCACGCCACACTCAAAATTCTCACAATTATAGTCCGATGTCTGGAACCATGTTAATCCTTTCGCTACTACAGGTGACTATGGTCACCGGCCATAAAAATTGAGTAAGAAATTGAGACAGGTGTTATCGTTCCTCTTGGCTCTCTTCGCAAAGAATTGCCAGCTCTATTGCGATGGTCAGTTTTTCCTTTCCTTTTCTTCTTCGAAAGATTTGCGTCGAAAGACCGAATGCTAAAGATAACCCTAACGTAACGTTACCATCTTTGACACGTTGCTTCGTCCACGAGAGAGACTTCGCAGTGACGCCCACCGCAGCGAAAGGGTTAACAGTAATAGCAATTATTGCGTACTAATCTCGTCGATCGTTCGTCACCGCGGGTTAAAAAATAGAATTCGAAAGATTAACGCGAAACCAAAACCACTGAGAGTCAAAGGAGAATAAACGCTTGACAGGCGACAGCTGTCAGCTATTTTGTATCGATTCCAAACTTCAATCGGAGACCACTCAACCACTTGCGCTGGAAAGACGTGCCACGCACGTCGTACTGCTTTTGTCGCAACGCAGAATCGCCAACGACGTGGTACACGCGTCGTCAATTGTCACAGAAACACTGGACCGCTCTGGCACATTTCTGTGAATTTCTTGCCAGCGCAAATGGTTAAGAGAAGAGTAATAATGTACTACGTCGTCTTTCAACAGTTCACGCTTCGGATTCGTCTGTCGCGCGTTTTAAATCGGAAAGGAAGAATCGGACGGGAGTAGCGAGCTGGCCGAGTAGATCCCCGCGACGCTACGCGAGAGCTGGCCAACCTTGGACATAAGGAAGTCGTCGGCAAATTTCTTCGTGCTCGGGGCGAAACGCGCGAGAACGGTCGGTCGTTTAACGATAGATCTCGTTAGTCCTGGTCCCTGTTCCGGCGTCGCGCCCCCATTGTGTCCCCGGGATCGAGCAGCGTACCCTATTCAGCAAACCGGCGGGAATTTCGGGTTGCCGAGTTAGAATTAGGGCTTCGATTGGATTATCAGAACGACGTGGGGGTCTCTCTCTGTCTCTCTCTCTCTCTCTCTCTAGCTCTCTCTACTCCCTCCTGGCTTTGGTCTCCAGTGCCTTCTCCCGTGGCGCGGTGTTGGTTCGTAGATTTCGACGGTTCACGTAGGAAAGCCAGGTCCACGTGTGGGGCAGACTGGCCTAGCCTAACCTGACCGGGGTGGCCAGCGGCAGCCTCGTCAGATAGGACACGCTCGCCTGTTGGGACGTCTTTAATTGGGTTGGCGACACCGTACCCGGGAAATAAAATGAATCGCTGCCTCGACGTGTCTCTTCTCCGTTCTCTCTTCCCTGTATTCGGTTTTGCCCGTTCGAAACTGCGAGCTCGCACCGTGCAAGATGATCAGCCAGTGCGAGGACCGGTTGCCCGGGGAAATAAAAGCCGCCGATGAACGAGAATGGAGGGACCTCCGAGCGGGGTTGTAGGCGCGATCGAAAACCAGCTCTCCGGAGAGTTTCGAGGTGGTCGGGTTTCAGCTGCAAACGGAATTCTGCGGACACGTCGAAGCGCGCGATCTGAAGGAAATTCCGGGGGCTATCGATGGCCGCTGGTAATTCCGCTCGGAGCCAATTGCCGAATTTCGTTAGCGTCGCGGAGGGCAGGCTTTTTCCAAGGACTACGCCGGCTAATCCAATCGTTTCTCACGATTCCACGAACACTTGGATTCGCGACGAAATTAACTCGAACGGCTCGCGTACGGCTGATATCTCGCCACGTGCGCGGGATCTCGATAAAAATTTCGTCGCGTCGAACGACGCGGAACGTAGCAGGCGTCGTTGAGCAGGCAAGAAGGATGACTGCGGTTACCGGAAGTCCAGTGGACAGGCGCACGGTTGATCGCAGTGTTGTCTCTTTTAGGGCAGCAGCAGCAGTTCCACGCGTTCGCGTTCGCCTCGCAAAGAGGCGGCCCTTTTTTCGCCTCGCCGCTGGTGGACCCCTTGCAACCCCTGCCGAACCCCCTTCAGCCGCTGCCGAATCCGCTGCAGTCGCGGGATCCGCTGTCCTCCTTCAGGCACGCGATGCCAGCCAACTGTCAAAGTAAGTATTCGATCGGCTTATCTGCATGATGAATGTTGCGCTTCCGACCCGTCGCGCCATCTAATTCTAACACGTCCAACGTCTAACCTTTTGCCCTCTTTCTTTCACTTGGTTGCTCTTCGTACTCGTAGTGCTATCGCTTCGCTGGTCGAACTTGGATCGCGCGTGTCGTCCGTGTGGGATCCACGGACATGGGAAATCTCGCGATATCTCGGGGTCTTTAACGTCTCGATTCGATACTCGGAGAATTCGCGAAATAATTTCCGTGACAGTCGCTTGACAGTCGATTTCGAAAATGAAATTTCATCGGCGATATCGCGAGAAGCGGCTCTGCTTGGAAGCTGGGAATATTTCCAAGCAGACGCTGCTGCCCTCCTGGTCTCGTATATAGACAGAGAGAAGAGAGAGAGAGAGAGAGAGAGAGGTTTAGGCTTGCGAGAGCTAGCTTCTCGACTCTAGAGGCGGAAACCACAAGCCTGTTCAAAGCTAGATTAAATATTATATTAAAGGGGTTGCCACGGGAGCGGCGGCTGCCTCGTCGGGACGGCTCGTCGTTTTGGCCTGGTAACCCCCGCGTTCTCTGTACGTTTGCAACCGGATTCGCGAATTTCTATGCGAAATATCGCGTTTCCAGCTTCGCCGTCCCTTTCTCCGCCCTCCTTTTCAGAAATCCCCAAGTTTTTCAAGGCCGGTCGAAATTTTTGCCAAAGGGCCAGAGACCGGGCGGGCGAGCGCTGTCGCGGGTGCGCAAAATTTCGCGCGCTGTCCGCGAATTTATCAGCTTTTGTTCCTCGCGGAAGAAATCCCCGCGCGGAAAATATTCGACGAAGGTGGAGAGAGAAAGAGCGAGAGAGAGAGAGAGGGAGAGAGAGAGAGAGAGAGTCGATTTAATGAGTCGCCTTCGGATCCGAAAGCGATAACGCGGAAAATTCCTCGATAAAGTATCAAGCATGCCGGGTATTTCCTTTATTAACTTTTTTCCCCACATCGGACATCGATAATTCGCGTCGGCGTTTCTCGATCCGCCGGCGCTGGCCCTTCGACATCTTTGCCGCGAATTTCACGACATCCACCGGCAACTTTCCTCGATTAACGCCGCCGATGTACTCTCTGTGGGTGACACGTGCCGAATACTTGGCGTAATTCCACGCTTTATTTCGCGCGAATCGAGCGACGTCGCGCGGTCGTTGCGTGCGCGTGATTGCGACATTGCAAGCCCGCCGCGTTAAACTGCCATTTAACGAGTCCATATTTTCGAAATCCGGCATTCCGATCTAACCCCGTGCGTGCATCGGAATTTTATAACGCGCCGTTGTACAACGGAGAAGAACATCGGTGACCCCGAAGAGTCGGCGTTTTCCTGAAAAACCGGTATCTATTGACAAAGACCGCGATCCTCGATTTAATTCGAACGGAATTCGAATAGGATACGAATAGAATTCCTCGCTAAATCGAAGCTGCGAAATTAGCGTCGCGTTAATCAAAGGTCCTCCTTACGTCGCGATATCAGCCAGAGAAGCTTCCTCTCCCCTGGCCGGTGAAAATTGAACGAACGACGTGAAAGCATGCTGGCTCGCGCTATTTAGGGTTAGCCTCTCGTCAACGACGGCCCAGTGGCGCTGGTCGAGCTCTCGGTTATTTGAGTTGGCCGGAGGTACGCGGGGGATGACCAACCCTTTGATCTCGAACGCGCACGCCCTCCCTCCGTTTTCTGTCCGGCTGCACCCCTCTTGCTCCCGAGCTTTCCGCCTTCAGCCCCGTAACTCATTGGAAAATCTATCGGGGATGCTGCCTATATGCCGCAAAAATAAATCCAGCCCCGAGGGGGTGCAAAAGAAGCTCGTCGATCCCCGTGTATATTCGCCGGCAAAGTGATTCGGATCGACGAATAATCTTCCCCGCGAATAATCTTTCTCTGCCTCGTTTTCTCTTTACTCCCTCCTCTCTCCATTGCCCCCTCGCCCCTGCGATCTTTGTCCCTGCGATTCCTTCGCTTTTTCTTCCCGTCGAGGTATTTAAGCTCCGCTTCGATCGCCTTTTGCGCTTCGCACCACCTCTCGTCTCGACTCGTCTCGGCTTTGCGCGCGTTTTCTCGCTGCGAGCGAGGCTTGAACCAGAAAGTATTCGATTATGACTTCGCTTTTACAAGCTCGCGAATGCTCTGTTGGCTTGCGCTCCTCGTATGCTCGCTGCTTTCAGTGTGTTTCCCCGCTGTGCTTCTGTCAAATCCCCCATTTTAATTCAATTTTTAATTTCCACTGTTCTAAGACACGTAGCTCTCTTCCTCGATCCTTTCACACGGATCTGTGAGGCTCCCGAAGCTCGAATTACCTGGAAAAGTAACGTTAACCACGTGATACCCCTTCGATCTGATTTAACGATCACTCGACGACCGACGGATCGCGAAGATTCGCCGCTGCGCGTGAAACAGTTGCACCCTCCATCGACTGCACCCTCCGAGAGGAAATCCAACAGCCCCATTTCCAGGCCTCGTTCCCCCCCTGCGAAGCGAAAGCAGATTCTCCAGGTGCAACTGTGGAATTGGATCGATTCCGCCGATCGTCGAGCGTCGATCGCGAGCGTTGGAAAAGGAGAGCAAGGATTACGATTGTGATACACGAACGAGCACGATCTCTTCAGACATGTCCCAGTTCGGTCTGACTGCGAGCAATTCATGGGGATACGGAAGCACGGCCGGCTACGCTGGTTATCTTCCCGGCCCTTTGTCGTCGTGCGCGGCACAAGCGTCGTTCCCACCCCCGCCACCGCCACCTCCGCCACCACCCCCGTCGTCCTCGTCGTTGGCGTCTTTCGCGGGCGCCGCGTCTATGAACACGCCAACGGCGCCCGATTCGACAGCGGGATCCACTGTTACTTCCGGTACCGGTGCAGGATCCACGGCACAGCAGGATGCGTTCTCAGCGGTGTCATCCCGTAAGTCTCTACTCTCTGTCTCTTTCTCTCCTCTCTTTCCTCGCCTTCTCTTCTCGCCACACTCACCCGCCCTTTGACGCCGCGTTTTATCGCGGGAATTCCTTTCCACTCGTTACCAACGATAACGTTCCTTCGCCCACCAACTATGCCACGCGATGCCTCGGTTACCCTCGAGTCTCGTTATCGCTTCGTCCCGACGATTCTGCGATACAGCGACGGGCTCGGTCCTCGCAGCGTGAAACTCGCGGCAGAGTCTTCGCAGTTCGTTTCGCTCGTAATTCAGATTTCGCAGGTTTGTTTAGTTTACAGCGGATAATTCCCAGAACGTACGTAAACCAAATACAGGCGTATTTCCTGTTAAACTATTGCATTAATAGTTGATCGCCCGATGTTTACAACGCGCACTCCGGCGCATTTGTAATCGATATCGCAGCGTTACACGATCAGTGGCAACCAACGAAATCGGCCTCGCCGCGCATCGCGGCCATCGCGCTTTTCAACGCGGGAGCCGAAATCTCTCGAGATGGTGTTACGCGTTCGAGAAGAGATGGCACAGCGCGTTTACATCCTCACGACTGACTGACTACGATGACACTACCTCGGTGGCAATGACAGCTATTGGTCGAAGGGCGACGAAGATCATCGGCGAATAATACGACGGCATCGGCGTAGTCTTCGAAAATATTAAAATTCGGAAAACTAACGTCGATGCTGTCATATCTTGTCTCACTCGATCTCGTTACGGCTTTCCGGCGATCCCTGTCACCTTTTATTGGCCAATAGCGGTCACTGCTTGTGATCGAGGCAGTGTCAGTGATATCGGTTAACCATGACGATGTAAACGCTCTGTGCCATTTTGTTTCGTGCGCGTAACACCCTCGTGTCTCAGGGCGGTTGCGAAGAATCTCGTTTTCGCGCGCGCCATTGGCGAAAAAATCGCGCGTGAAAAGGGTCCGGGGGTAGTGGGATCCGTGCTCTTCGCGACGCTTTTTGTTTCGAGTCGATATCTCGCTCGGTTGCCGAGATACGGGGCCCGAAAGCTGCCGGCCGCTTGGCTGATGCACCGAGGGATGATGAATGGGCGAGTCATCGCCGTGACCTACATTTTTTCCTGCAAATGCGTACGCGCGATAGTAAATAGTAAAAAAACCGCTGACTCAGCGTCTGCACCGGCCAGTGCACGTGGCGCGAGCTTGCGATAGGTCAGCGGCGAAGAGCGAGCGAGAGGTCCGAGCGTGCGACAAGGACGGAAACAGAGAAATATTAAAAATTATCCCTCTGTTCGAGCGACGATATCTCGGCAACCGGAAGTCCGATCGGCGCGAAATAAAATCGAGTGCGCGGGGGAACGTTGCCCGCGTATACTCGCGTCGGGTTCGTCGAAATACCGTTGCCAGTTTTTCCACAGCGATCAATCGAATTTCGCGAAATTTCGATACGGATTATCGGCACGTTTGCGGGTTCGTTATGGCGAATATCCATTAGTTCGAGGCAAGATTAATCGGGATTATAGCGCGTCGTGTAGGAGGTTGGAAAATTATTTCTACGCGAACAGGGCTCGTTCGTTTCGTTCGACGTCTTTCCGCTATTCCCGTTTATCCGGATCATCCGAATCTCGCGCGAAACGCTATCGATCATCGAGTTCTCGAGTTTCCCGATCTAACCGTCTCCCAGAAAACTCTACACGTGTTTCCAATTCTCCTCCAACTCACCGTGAACTCCAATTCTCTCGTAGACTAAAGAATTAAATCGCAAAACAGCCGATTTCTCTTTTCCAAACCGAGCAGTGGTCCCAGACTCGACGACGACGGGCCAGACCGACCCCCTGGACCCGCTGAGCAGCCTAATGTCGGGGACGCCGAGTCAGAGGTACCAGGACTACGTGTCGCCCAGGTCTCTGTCGACCGACTCGAGCACCACGGAGAGCCCAGTGCACGAGGAGCAAGGCTTCGGACAGAATTATGGCAACTACTTCCCGACGCCCGGCGTGCTGCCCAGCATCCTCTATTCCCAGATATACGGGAATCAGTTCCAGAATTCGGACAGCCCCGAGCAGAGAGCAGTGGCGGACAGTTGCAGCGTGAGACAGGAGGAAGTGAGACCGGACAACAACGTCTGGAGACCTTACTGAGGCCCAGGCCACTCGTTTCTGTCCGACGAGCATCTGTTGTAGGACTTTGTCGACTATCGTGCACGACGACGATACTGAGACGAGCAAACTGTGATCGGTGGAGAAGGACGAGGTGTTGGCTCGAACAAGCGAACGAAACTAGCTACTAGTGGGCATTACAAACGAAAGAACAATCCGGTGCGCGTTCGAGACGGCGGAGAAGCTGACGCCGACGTCAGCAGATCCCTTTGTTTTTTCGCTGGTTGTGTCGCAACGAATCTGTAGAGAGGGCTGATTTGTAATTTACCGAGTGTGCGATGAGTGAACGAGTGAACGTGCTGCTGGCCCCCCGGTGATGGTGACGATGATGATGATGTATATAGAAACACTGTACATAGATAGAGCATTGTCGTTTCATCGAGTCATTCATCACTGTCGACGGACTACGCGACGTGTGACGACTTGTACCGGGTGTCTCGGGGATGGCTGGTCGAGCTCTCGATCACGGTGTACTCTGCTTGTCTCGAGAATCACAAACACGTACGTCGCGACCATCAATTTTCTTCTCGCGGTAGATGCATCTATTCCTTGCCAGTGAATCGATGATTTTTCCCGTTTCCACGTCCCAATGACGTCGAATAATTTCTTCGAGGTGCCACGAATTCGGGTTACACAGCAGTCTGAGAATTCGCCCTCGAGACGAGCAGAGCTCCCCGTACACTCGACCGGTCGTCGAACACACCCGGTATACATTCTATTCCTTTCTATTACGTTTTCATAGTATAACGCGATTTGATCGATTTGACTGCGGGCTCGTGTGCAATATCGCCGATCCTGATTCTCGTGGAAATTTCAGGCACGAGCGAAACGTCGAGAATCACGCATCGGCCGAGTCGAGGCGATATAAAACCGGATCGAGTCTCGCGGACGAAGAGTGGAAATCTTCTCGCGACTCAAAACAAACAGCTCGTCGCTTTCGCATCGAAATTCCCCGTGGAACGAAAAAATAAACGAAACCGAAAGCTCGCGCCACAATTTCCGAAAAATTGTGACGCGATTGATCGATCGAACGTCGGTGACGATTTATTCGTTTTTTTCTCCAAACCGACGTCTACATTCTGCCCCCTTCCTCTCAAAAAGAACGATGATTTCAGATATACATATCTACCGACCTATTGTTATCGTAGTTTTTGACCGAGTCGAAATAAAAGTGTATTTCAAAATACGACAGACCACGTGGGTGTTTTTGCCGGTCCATTGCTTCTTTTTTTCAATTACGTTCTCCAGCGTTTGGAGAAATTCTTTCCCACGATTTTCAACTCCTCCGTTTCAAATTCCACGCTCTTCACGTTCTTTCCCGAGTCTTCCCGAGCATTCCCGTTTTCGATTTATTCTCCCTCGAATGTGCGATATTTCTCGTAGATTTCTTATCCGCGCTTTTCGTTGCAAAACAGATTGTTTAAATATTTTCGTATTTTCTTTTGTACTCGCTGCGATTGCCGATATATCGATGATATAGAGGAGAAAATTAATTAAAAAGGAATTCGACGATCAAAGGAACGCTCTCTCTATTTTCCTTGTCCATTATTCCGAAGCAGGCTTAGCCTCGACCCTTCGTGGCCAGAGAAACAAGGGTCAACGATGTTCCAGCGTAAAAAGTACATAAGATCGGTGGCCGTAATGACGTTTCCGTCAGGTAAAGGGTGGCGCAGGTAACGATACGAATCTCTACAAAGCTTCCCCAAAGCCGGCAGTTCCAAAGGATCCTCGGCAGGGCGGAGCTGCGCGTGTATGTAAATTCGCAAAAGATTTAATTAAACGTAGACCCCGGCAGAAGATTCTCGTTCTGCCTTCTGCCTCCCAGCCGCTCTGTACTAACGAATACGCGTTTCGAATTTAGCGTTTCAGAGCTTCGGTTGCCTCGCATCAGCGATCCCCGTAATTAACTCGTTCGCGGATTATGAACCACCCCTGAATTCGACGATTCTTACGAGAAAAATTACAATTCCCCGCGAACGTCTTTAATTTCGTCTCTTTCATGAACTACCGAACGTAAGAAGGTTTCATTCGAATCTACCCGTTCTTCCATTTCGTTTCTGTTCCGCGAAGACGAGCGACTCCTCTCGTCTCCCCTAGAAATTAAAAAATTCGAAATAAAGAGATAAATAAAATTCGGAAAGGGACAGCTTTCCAAAGCTCTTTTCCCTTCGATTACAAAGACACGTTTCGCTCTTCTCATGACCCATAGAGTCCGTACTCTTTGTAAGGAGAGGAAAAGCGAGGGCTGTGTTAAAACGAGTCTATCACTCGGTGGTCGATTTTATTCCTCTAGGAAATTATAGGATAGAGAAAAAAAGGAGAAAAGAACTAAAGTTTGCTGGTTTGAACTAAAAGAATACATTTTGTGCGAGTTGACATGGCGGCGAGGTCTGGCAAGGAACTGAACCGTCGCGTTCCTAACGCCGCGAAAAGAGACAAAGATTGAAACAAATACCGGTGCAGATCCCTGCCAGATCGCCGTTGCACTTCGACAATTTCGTTGCAGACGATATTCACACGCCGCTCTCGTCTCTCGCGCGAAACTCCGCGGTCCGCTGCCCTTTTAACGGTAGGCCTTCTTTGTTAACCCATTTGCATTCAAGCGCGGAATAATCCGCGAGATGACTTTTTTCCCATTACCAGTTACTGAATATTCTTCATATGTCACAGATCACGTTTGATCCCTTTTGCGAGCACCTCACCTACATCGGTTCATTATATTCTTAACAAGTTTTACTTTCGTTGCGAAAATCTTTTTAATTGCCATTACGAGTAGGTGCTGATACGCGCGTGGTGTTACGACCCAGTCGTCAGTTGAACGTCGCTGATGCCCAAACTCGGCACCTTAAGTAGAGTCACGATGCAAATGGGGTTAATCCGCGGCGCAGATGAAGCGGATCGCCGCTTCGTTTCGAGACTCCGGTTATCACTGCTACCTCGTCACTCACGCAACCTTATCGGTAACCGAAGCTCGCATACTCGTACACACTCTTACACGTTCGATTGACATGGAAATCGGCCTGGAGGTTTTGGTGCCGGGAAAAAGAGCGCGATATCGCGGCGCGCAAAGCAGCCACAGAAGAGCGACGCGAAGGTGGCCCCCGGACGGACAGCAAGGGTGGCTGGTCGTCGCACAACTCGTCGTTTATACGCGGTGCCGGCATAATGGAGCAGAGTGGAGCGGAGCACGGATAATGGAGTATGAAGAATAGCGTGCGGTGAACGTCGGGATAGTCTGCACCCCTTTGCCCCTCGGCTTTTCATCCCTCTTCCCCGGTTCCGGACTTTTCGCTCTTACCCTCTCGCCGTCCATTCTTCTTCCCGACCCTGTGCGCTATCTTCCTGTCTCTCTTCCCTCTCTTTCTCTCTCTCTCTCTCTGTCGCCACGAAGGGTGGGAAAGAGAGGCGCGAGCGCGCGAGAGACACGGCTCGTTGGCTCGACCAGTTGGCCATACCGATTTATCGCGCTGCAGTCGAGCCGCATTACCAATTGCCGGTAAATTCACGCCGTGTCATCGGACCGCGGCCGCGATTTTTCTTGGACGCTCTCTGTCTTCTTGGAGAACGAGCGGTCTCGTAAATCGACGCCCTGAACAAAGAAACGCCGGATCGAGGACCGTGACTCTGAAACTGGTCATTGTCTCGCGGTGCAATTGGCTGAGGGATGGCGAGCTTCCAGCTCTCCGGGCTTTTTCTTCGAGACTCGATTGTAAATTCCACAGACAGGATACGCTTTGTGCTCCGCGAGTACTACGTTTGCTAACAAATTCTCGGTCGAACGCGATGCTGCGAAATTATTCCGAATCACCGTGACTCTTTGCTGCAGAACTACCTGCAGAACTAAGATACGAGCACGAAACGGGGCCTAGAATCGGTTCCGTCTGCGACGTCTTCGAAACTCGAGATTTTCATTCTCTACTGTGAAATTTCGCCTGCCGGAAGACAGGTCGCGGATCAGGTTGGTCCGCGCCGCGGGGGTGGAAAAACGCGAACGAAAAATGCCCCAGAGCCCCACATACTACGCGGATCGAACGCAACGTACTGGTACATACAGTCGGTTGCTCTCTCCGTCGTTCTCTCGCTGCTGCTCCTCTCTCTCTTACCTCTCGTACGCATAGAGTGCACGTGGCGTTCACCGTAAACGTTCGTTCGGCTTGGCAAGCGGGAAACGAAGGGGTTGGGGGCGGGGGGGGCGCCGGGGCGGATTTTGTCCGTCGATTACGGGGTGAATTTTCGGACAACGAGACCCGATCATTTCGAACGAGATACGGCTTTGGTCCGAGATATTCGCGAGAAGGGGTGTCCCGGCTTCGTTACCGCCACCACCGGCCCTCTCTCTCTCTCTCTCTCTAGCGCTCTCTTTCTCTCTCGTTGAATAAATCGCGAGGCCAAGTAACGGTAACTCGATAATCGAGCGTTCGGAATTTACCCTGTCTTCTTTTCTCCATTTTATTTCATTTCATTTGATTTATTATCTCCCTGTTTCTGGCATTTCGAATCTATCCGCCTGTTTGAACGAATAAATTCTTGCGCGATTCCCGAATTCGAAATTTCAAATGGGAATTCGAAATCGGAGAACGAGGTTAGAAAAATGATCACAGCGAACTCGTTTGGTCGCGAAAGGGTTGGCGGATGAAGGGGCTGATGGATCGGCGAGAAATAAGTAAGACTTGACGAAGTGCGCCCGCGGGGCTGCAACCCTTGATTACCGAGATCTTCATCTACATGCTAAACATCGTTCCTCGGCGCTGTCTTGAATACTCTTGTACTTACGTATGTATCTAGATCCAGAGAGTCTGCCTGCGCCCGCCTTCACCCTCTGTCTTCCTCCGACCAGTTCCACCCTCCACGCTGCCTGCGGAACACATTCACGTACCGTCTATATGATGTTTGCTTAGATTAAATTAACCGACCGTGAACCCAGCCTTTGTTCTTCCTACTGTCGACCTACCCCCGACCCCAGCCGCCTGCAAAAGAGGGTG